CTCCATCTTACTAATTTCGAACCAGGGTCTTTGATAGAAAAGAGCCATTGTAATGTTTTATGGTCAGTCACAATAGTAAATTTTCGGCCAAATAAATAGGAACGGAAATATTTCGTAGCTATTGAGTGAATACACTCGGCTGGGCTTAGAATTCTATTGCTATAAGCAATAGGCAGGTAAATCCGATCAAATGGGTCCTTGCGAAAGTTGCGTACTCTGAAGCATCAGTTGTTAATACAAAAGGTTTTTCAAAATCGGGAAATTGAAGTATTGGGTAATTGGTTAAAAGGTCTTTACAAAGGTTGAAAGCTGTTATGAATGCTTTGAATTACATTGACATTTTTCTTCAAACAATTTGTTAAAGGTTTTGTGATTTTTGCAAAATTCTTTATAAATTTCCTATAATAACCTACGAGGCTAAGAAATGATTTTATTTCTTTCGTGGTTTTGGGCATTCTAAAATGTTTGACTGCCTCTATTTTTCGAGGGGTTCGGTTTGACACTGTCTGGAGTTATGATGTGTCCTAGAAATTGGGCACTTCTTTGTAAAAACTCAGCTTTATCTAACTGTATTTTCATATTGAAAGACATTAATCGTTCGAATACTAGTTTTAAAGAAGTTATGTATTCTTGAAGGCTGGTTGGATAGATAATGATATCATCCATATATACTAGACAGACTTTTCCTAGTAATCCTCGTAAAATATTAACCATTGCTCACTGGAATGTAGCAGGAACATTTTTTAACCCGAAGGGCATACGTATGTACTCGTAATGTCCATGGTCTACATTGAATGCTGTTTTAGGAATACTTTTTGGGTCCATTTCAATCTGGTGAACCCCACTGGCTAAATCAAAGGTTGTACAATATTGACAACGTCCTAGTTTATTTAATATATCTGCGATATTTGGTATTGAATATTTATCACTTATGGTTTTCTCATTCAACTTGCTGTAATCAATTACTAATCTCCATTTCTTTTGTCCTGACGCATCTGTTTTCTTAGGAACGATTCATATAGGGCAACTCCAAGGAGAACAGGATGGTTGGATGATTCCATCTTGAAGTATTTAGTCTATTTGCCTATTTACTTCGTCTTTGCGAATGTAAGGGTATCTATAGTTTTTGTATGTGTTGGGATTTCGTCCGTTGTATTTATTACTTGATTTGAAAATGTTAATTGATCTCCAGGTTTATGTGGAGCATTATCAAATTTTGTGAGCAATTGGAAAAGTTGTTTACGTTCTTTTTGATTTAAATGATCGTGTCTTATTAAAGATTTTAAATCAATTTTAATAATTTTATCATTATTTCAAAGTTGTTGAGTTCGATTGGTTCTAGCTAGAGGTATGTTTTCATTTCTTCTTCCTTCTAAAATTAGCAATTTTTCTGTGTGTTTAAACACGTCTATTGTAGCGGTGTTGTTAATTATAGTCACTAATGTTGATTCAATTTCAATGTCATCATCACGTAAATATGGCATTATCCATGTGGTATTGTTGGGTAGATTTGTTTTGAATATGGACTTTTGAATAGTTTTTGGTGGAATTTTTTGTCTATATTGTCACAACTGCCCGCTTTACGGGGGTGACATGGGGGGTTTATAGCTTTGGAGGTTGATGGAGAGAAACTCGCTCAGGTTATATAAAAATATAGATATATATTTGCCCAAATATACCCTTACATGTACGCTAATCCTATAAGATGCATGACCCTTCGAACACTGGGGTCCTTATAGGGAGCCACACGTCAACGCTGCTTCGAGGGAATGTAGATTAGTTATCGGCACCCTTATGCATTGTCCAGAGGGGCTTTCCCAACGAGAGGTAATTGCACTGGACAACGATAAGGCTGAAGATACCCAGAGGGGCTTTCCCAACGAGAGGTACTTGCATTAGGGAGACTTATTTCTAGAGGGGCTTCTCCAACGAAAGGTACTTGCACTGGTTTAAGTCTGCCTTTGCTGCGGCTTGCAGCGCAATTTATATCAATTTATTGCTGAATTGCGATAAACATCCGATCGAATCGGCAATTAAATTAATAAGGTTAAATACCGGGTCCTTTCCTTAGCAGCTTGTTGACAATATTGGAATGGAATTTCCAAATCATGATTTTTAAGTAGTTGATTATTAATGTCGATATTTAGGTTTAATTTACAAAGATCTTTTATTCCTAAAATTTTATCGAAATAATCATGAAAGGGGTATAAAATAAATTCAATAGGTTCAGATATTCCGAACCATAAAAATAGTGGAATGTTTGCTTTACTGGTAGCTTTTTTTGAACCAGCGCATGTTTGAAGTGTACTAACATACGAATTGATTGATTCTGCAAGCAATGATGCATGTGATCCTGTATCTATTAATAATCCTATATTGTAATTGGGAATTTCTATGAATGGCAATTTATTAATTTGAAAACTATTTAGATTTATATAGAGTTTACTTTGTCCAAGGCTTCCAATTGAAAATTTTCCAATTGTTCTGCAAGATTTTCTTCTTTATAAATAGTTTGATCTTCAAAATTGTCAGTACCTATTTTGGTAAAAATCGTATTCAGATTCTGGGCTTTTTTGGGATTCAATCTTCTCATTTTCAATATTTGTTAATTCCTGAGATGTGTAATTAGGTTTTCCTGTGGATTTAAAGTAAGGTTGATGTTATATTACTTGGCTGACAGGTTTTCGTGGTTGAATATTCACACCTGTCTCTGACATTGGTTGTGGGTATTGTTGCTGTGGTTTGGAATATTGAAAATTTTTCTGAGCTTTGAGTTTTGAACTAGTGGCTTGAATTAATGATTTGGCTGTTTGGAAAATTGCACTTGTGATTTAAAAAAGGTTTGATTTGAGGGTCTTGATGGGTTTGTTGGAGTTTGTTTAGACGAACTCGTTTGATATTGATTAGTTGACTTTTGTTGAGTATTTGAGAACTGATTTTGAATTCTCTGTGCATTCTGTTTAGATAATCCATGATTATGCATGTATTGATTTTTAAAATGATTTTGGCTTGTTAAAATTTTATAATTAGTGATTATATCAATTGTATTATCCAGATTTTATGGGTTTTGAACTATCAATAAAGTTCCTTTTGTTAATTTTTTTCATTTAAGTCAAAAATACTTGAACGATCCGATTCTTAAATAACAGGTTGTACGATTATAAGAAACAATTATGAATTTACAATAAAGTTTCTACCCTTTTTCCTGTATCAAACGGTACTTCGCTGGAGAGATAAACTAACCAGGTAGGTTACCTCCTGTAGTGGACACTAGCTATGCCAATTTGTCCTTCTGGTTTGTCAACGAGGCGTACCGATGAGTGACGTTGTGCCAGGAGCCTTAATTAAGTAACAATGTCGTAAATGATGTTTTGGATCCTTCTTAACTGTTGGAATAGACGGGAATGCTTCGTCGGTAATCCAATTAGACACTGATAATCCAAAGGGAAACACTATCTGATCCGCGAAGAGGATCGCTTTGCACCACCGGAAAGGATCCTACCGACTGCGCCAGATTTACTTCAATACAACATGTGTTTTTAAAAAGTTTAATTTTAATTAAAACACGAAATTACATATAGGTATGTTCCTATGACAAAACTGACTTAGAGACTTAATTCTGTACTGCTGCAAGCCCGTATTTATAAAATTAAAAATGCTGAATAAGCGAAAGCTTGCTAAAACTCCTTATTCTAATAATACGTCGTCAAAAGTAACCATATTAATTGTTTATTGAGGTGTTCTATTATTACTTGAAACTATTTGAGGAAGAGCTTTTGTTGGTTTCTGATTCTCAAAATAAAAGAGTTAAGTTTCTGTTTTGATTCTGAACGGTTTATTTTTTTCTCTAACAAAAACTGAGCTATTGAAGGGAAAAACTGGTTCAAATCAAGAGTGTTTAAAGCCATATATTCTATAAGAGAGAACTGGCTTTCTTTCTGATCGGATCTGAGTGCTGAAAGCTACCTCTAGAATCTACAAAGTTTAACTTTGAAAGTTGTTCAATTTTGTCCCCTTCAAATTCAAGAATTATTGGATAATTATTTATATACTATAAATAAAATCAATCAATGATAGCGAAGAGAGGTTTTATCTCGCGAAACTATAATTGAGTGTCAGTGAACTCGAAGACAAAGTACAAGTTAATTTGAAAAATAATTTGATTCTTGCCGAAAAATGTTCTAATATGTAGATGTATAGTGTAGCAAACAAGTAGTAAAGCAATTACGCACTCATTGAACATTTGAATGTGTGCGTAATTTTCTTCTTACAATACTCATCTCATCTATATGTACTAATAATTTCAATTTTCTTCAAATATGTATCTAGATATATTGCATTTTACTGGCCTTTGGGCATTTATGCCAGTTCCTGAACTATTTTCCTCCACTGATTGTTTCCTATAAATTTCCCCGAAAAAATTAATTTACAATAATTAATCTTTGAAATTAGTTAATAACGAGCACGTTTGTTAGCGTAACCCCGGATTCATCCGCGCGTGTAAAACAACAACAAATTTTAAACCTACACGCGCCTAAAATTGAAAATTGTGTTTACACCCATTTAGTCTAATGATACCCGAATTTGCGATAGTAATTTTAACTTAATTACGTGAATTATTTTGGAATAAGGACTATAGGCGGAGATGAAATTTTATAAAATAAGTGACAGAGATACTAGATGGAATCAAATTTGTTCGGATAGTTGATAGTAGTTGTTAGTAATCTTTGTTGTGAAATTTGTTAAAAAACTGGAAAAATCCGAACTGAAATTTTGATGTGAGTGAGTTTATCATTAGATTTTTTACTAAATTATTTCTAAATGGAAATTAATTACAAATAATAGTAAATTAACTAACTCTTCCACCCTTAGTTAATAGTTAATAGCCTAAAGATCCCTGTGTCAGTTGTGATTCTAATAATCATCATTGTTCAAATGCCTGTTGTGAAATATTTTTAATATCAAATTCCGAAGTCAACTTTTTCTTTTATGTATTTCAGAAACTCGAATAAACAATGTTCACTCGACAATTTTTGTTTACGTGGTCTTTCTGCATTTCGCTTTCTTCATCACTCGAATTCGATCCTGTTGCCTACACCACCCACGGATACTTGAAGGGAAAAGTAAAACTATCGCTGCACAACAAAAAATACCATTCCTTCACTGGTATTCCGTATGCGAAAGCGCCTGTGGGAGATCTTAGATTCAGGGTAAGTCTGTTTCAACATTACCTAATCTTTTGGTTCTTCTTGACTTGATGTACTAATCCTAATAAAACTACAAATAAAAATTAAAACTACAACCAGAAATCAGAATTAAATTTTAATATTATATTCTTCGTTCAGCTCGACATTGTATAATTATTTGTATTCTTTCCACCATAATCTTGGAAATTTTGTTTTGTTCTACCTTAAAGTTCTCTTTAAATATGCTTAACGAACTCTGTTTTTTTTTCTACTCAAGAATCCAGCTCAGTTAAAATCTTTTTGTCAAGCAATTTCACCCAGGTTTCATCTAAGTCTCACCCAATTCAGAGTCATTTTCGACTCAAGTACCTTAAGAATTCATGTCGTGTTAAGAGACAGAAAGAAAGTTGTTGCAGTAATTATTTCTCCTAGGAACCACAAGACCTGGAACCTTGGCATAATTTCACACGTGATGCCACCAAAGACCCGCCAGCTTGCATCCAAAGAAATTACCTATTTTCCATTGATCCGCCAATTGAAGGAAAAGAAGATTGTTTGTATTTAAATCTATTTGTACCACAGGTGACTTTTACTTTTTTAATACGAATTTTGAAATAACTGAATAATCTTTTTAGACAAACGATGAAACCGCCAAAAACAAAAAAGGCCTACTCCCCGTGATGGTCTTTATTCATTGGGGTGGTTTTATAGCCGGAAGAAGCACCACAGGTTACTTGGGACCCGAATATTTCATGGACAAAGATGTTATTCTAGTAACTTTCAATTATCGAGTCGGACCGTTTGGATTCCTATCGACCCTCGACGATGAAGCTCCAGGAAATTACGGTTTGAAGGATCAAGTTGCCGCTTTGAAATGGGTGCGAGCGAATGTCGAGCTTTTCGGCGGCGACAAGGATAAAGTGACGATTTTTGGACAAAGTGCTGGTGCTGGTAGCGTTCATCTTCACATGTTGAATCCAGCATCAAAAGGTATAAAATAATTACTACAATAGAACATAAAGTATATGAAAATAGCAATTTGGCTCATCTCATATAGTGGAAAGTGAGTCTGGCTGAAAATTTTCGGATCTTCAATTTTTCACTTGTCAGACGTATCATCCATACTCACAGATTAGCCAGACTATTTTTTTACGTAACTTCACTTTCAATAGTAGAGCTATTTTTATCACTGGAAAAGAGAGAATACGAATGCCGTCGAATGCACGGCATTCGTATAAGCTCTAACGCATTTTGCGCCTCAACCCATCGGAAAACTCCCCTGAAAATATATGAATTTTCCTTAGAATAACTGACCCTACAATTATTATATCCATGATTTCTGACTGGGAAAATAAGTACCGAAAATCGTCACTGTCTCCTAGACTATTATGGATAGTTCTTTTTCCTCACTCCAGTTTTTTATTCTGTTGAAGGCTTTCTGCATTAGGCCTGTTATTAAACCTTCATGCTTCCCTTTTATTATTATCGCCAGATCATCTGCTTAGCTTAAGACTGTTGAATTCAGTTTTACTTAGTCTGGCGTCTGGCCAGGATATTGTCTACAGTGGCCGTATATCCTCTTCTATTTTGCTGAAGATGTTTCCTACTAGCCCTTGATTTCTTCCGATAGCCCGACATTTTCCATGATTGATCCAGAGAAGTGAGTCAAGACCTCTAGACTTTCTGTTTGGTTGTTTCAAGAGGGTTTTTGATAGGAGTTCTTGTGAATATTATCCTGGGGCTAACTTATTTTAAATAAATTTCAACAAGTTCATTGATTTTGTTGAGTAATACTGACTCTAAAAATCGCACAGTCATGACGTCTGAATTTTTTTTTTTTTTTACGGATATGCGCACTCGCAAGGAAATGTCCTATCACGCTCGAGAAGCGGCAAGTGCGCGGAAATGTCGGTGTATGTTGGTCTTGAAACGGTTCAGGTTGTAACCTGCAGGGAAAACCGTCGCAGGGAGTTTATTCCACAGCGATGCTGTTCTCCAGAGATATGAATTCTGATATAATGAGGTTCTTGGTGCCTCTAGTTTGACAGTAAATTCATGGTTACCGTCTGTTTGACGGGTTCGCCTGGTAGGTGCTACTCTCGGTGGAATCATACGTGCCAACTCTTCAAAGCATTTTCCGTGATAGTACCTGTAGAAGAGAGATAAATCGCCCACAGATCTGCGATGTTCGAGACCATCCAAGTTACGAGTAAGTGCGGGGTCATTGATCAGCTTGATAGCTCGTTTTTGCACGGTATTCAAAAGCATTAAGGTATGTTTGGGTGCTGCACTCCATATATGTGAGCAGTATTCCATAGTTGGTCGAATCTGGGCTTTGTAGAGCGTCAGCAATTGGCTTGGTGTGTACAGATGTCTTGTACGAAATAGCACCCCCAGCTTTTGGGAGGCCCTTTTAGCAATATCTGCCACGTGACTGTGCCAAGACATGTTGGTCTCTGCAGTAACCCCCAAGATGTTCAACTGAGTCTGTAATGTGACAGCACTTCCAGATAGCATGATGTTTGGCTCACCGGTGCTGGTCTTTTTTGAAAACAGAGCTGCTTGGGTTTTCTGCGCGTTGAACTGTACAAGGTTTTTGTTACCCCAGTCCTCTATTATCTCCAGGTCGTTATTTATTTGCGATATTTGAGTTAGTCTAAGATGATGGAATTCACGTGCGGAAAGACCTGTGGGTGGTATGAGTGAGGAGACTACATTGCCACCGTCTGCAAAGCAATAAAGTGGATTTACTGTTTTATCTATGAGGTCATTTATGTAAATCAGGAAAAGAGTTGGCGAAAGGATTGCTCCCTGTGGCACACCAGCATTTATTTGGTAAGAGTTGGAGTTCTGGCCATCCAGTGCAACATAAATGGATCTGTCCTTTAGGTAACTTTCAAACCAAGTGCAAAGTTTCGGCGATAATCCCATTGCTTTGAGCTTGTTGAGCAGATTTTCATGCCAAACTTTGTCGAATGCTTTAGATATATCTAAGGCAATTGTTCTTGTTTCCCCCCGCAACTCAATCGCTTTTTGCCATAAGTGAGTGACGTATGTAAGTAAATCGCCAGTTGACCTATATTTTCGAAATCCGTATTGCTTATCGTTGATAATTTTGTACTTTTCCAAGTACTTGGTTAGGTGATTGTTCACAACTCTTTCCATTACTTTTGATATCACCGGAAGTAGAGCAATTGGTCTATAGTTTAACGGATCTGTCTTTTTTCCTTTCTTTGGAATGGGTTGTACTGCGGCAGACTTCCATGATGATGGATATACTCCTTGCCTGTAAGACAAATTGAATAATTTTGCGAAAGTTGGGGTGAGTTCGTTGACGCAATTTTTGAGTACTATTGCGGGAATGCCATCCGGACCCATTGCTTTGTTTGTATCCAGCTTTTTTAGGGATTTGATGATAAATATCAGGGCTGGAACTCTGTAACGGATAGAAATCGTTATCCCTATCGCTATGGCACTTGTTTTCTTCTTCTCTCTTGTCGAAATCAATAGAGAGGAGACCTCAATAGAGATAGAGAAAATATCTGTATTCGTTACAGAGTCCCAGCCCAGCAGATTTCTCCTTCCTAAGTTTTGAGTTAGCTGATTATGGTTCTAACATTCCCTGGTATTTGAAAAAAGGAAGAGATGAGAATGAATTTAATTATAAAATTAAAGAATAAAGACGAGCAAAGAAACAGAAGTTGAGGAAAAAAAGGTGATTGTAGAGTACAAGATTGTGAAGAAACGAAAAACACAAGAAGAAATCGAGAGAACAAATACAAGATGATGAGAAACAAGAAATAGACATAAACAAGAAAATAAAAATAAACGATTACACACAACAGTTGTGTGATCTTGTAATAATTCTAATATTTTAATAGGATTTTTTTTACGTTTATGTATCATATAACATCTCCCTTTTTTAAATTTAAATTAAACGATTTGGAAGTTTTGAAATTGTACCTGATTTTGTCTTATAAAACTTGACAAGTGCAATTCCGTTGAATTTTAATTTTGACCTGGTATAGGGTTTAAAATATTTTCAACTGGTATATTTGTACAATTTTCATGTTCAGGTTTATCTTCTCATATCTGCGGAGGGTTATTTAAACTGTTATAAGTTAGTTCACCAGTATTGTTCGATTTTTTGATATCAACATGATTTTTACGTTCAAGTCTATTAAAGTTATCGTTAATCCAGGCCGATCTTGAAGCTGGATGTTTTCTAACAATTACAGCTGGTTCCCACTTAACATCCTTCCGATCACTACATCATATGATTTTCCGATTTTAGTGCTTTTTTGTCATATTTTTGTTTATTTCTCAAAGCAATTTCCTTTAGCTTATCTTGAAAATTTCACACTCTTTGGTTTCAAGAGTTTTTCATTAATCGGTAAGTTAGTTTTTGTTCGTCTATACTTGATAATAATTGGCTTGGTGAGTAAAATGTGCCAACCACAGGTCCATTTTGATATTCATGCAACATTAGTTCAATAGACTGGGAGCTCATAATACAAAAAAGTTAGTCATTTGTAACAGCCAACAGGTATGGCGACCTCCTAGGGGTCGAATTATGTCATGAGGAAGACGAAAAAGATGCTAACTTTCTTGCCGTTAGGCCCTAATCGTATGGCGATTAATCAAACTTGTCAGATAAATTGCGGGTTTCAAACGATTTGTAACACAAAGATTCTTGTATTTTTCGATAGTTTATGAAAATTGAACTAGTCGAAAGCAAAATGCCATACTTTTCCGGTGGGGCTTAAAGCCCGCCATACCAGTCGACGCGCGTTAGTTTTTAATATTTCTTTAAATATTTGTAACAAGCTATTTTTTTTAAAAATGATCATCTTTGAGGAGTCATTCATGAAAATCACCATGCCATACCGTTCCGATGGGTCCAAGTAGCCGCCATACCGCCACAAAGACATAGATTTCTTTAATAATGCTAAATGATTTGTAATACCCTATAAATTTGTTTACTACTTATTTGTGTGATTAGAAAGAAAAATCAGACTACGCCATACCCGTGGTATGGGTCAAATACGTACAATATTATCAAAAAGATGTAAGATTATATGAGAGGTTTTCATTGTAACAGTCTGGCACGAATTTTTTCTGAAAGTTCAAGGTACTTAAAATCAAAATATGTTTCAAACATATATGGTAGTGGCAATCTTCTTATATAACAGTGTTTTATAATATTCTATACGGCTCCCGCAGCTCGAAATTTCTTTCCTCGGTTGTGACCATCCCGCCAGCATGGAGGTAAAGTAACACCCATTTGGCTCCCGTTCGCAAATTTGAATGTAACACCTGATATCGCAACGGAGAGTTTCTTTATCGGGTGTTACCTACATCAGATTTGCATTCACATAATGTTTAAAAGTAATGCCTTTATTAGATACATAGTAGGTATAGATATAATATTATTAGTTTTTTATGTTTCAAACTTTCTGTATTTTATTAATTTGGTCGTTAATTCTTGCTTATAAGCCCTACTTTTTGTATTTCCTTTTGGTATCATGTATACATGTTGGCCCAAGTAAGAGAAAGAAGATTGAAAAAATTCAGTACGATGTAAGTAATGGCTTTTCGAAAGTATCTATCTATGTTCCTTGTTGACCTGGTATGAATGTCACCAAGCCCTACCGGAGAGATATTCTGAGTTCTAAATAATATTTTGTCTCCAAACAGCAGAATGTAAAAATGTTCTTTCTTTCATCTTAAGCATTTCACTGTTAGTAATGTAAGAAGTAACATGTTCTCGTCTATTTATGTTCAATCTGTGGTTCAATATATAGGTACCTATCGTACACAATTGTTCTGAATCTTTTGTAGTCTATATCTGTTATGTTCTGTTAGATTCTTTTCCAAACGCCAAAAGAATAGGAAATTGGTCAACAACAAAAAAAATTACAGATCAAAAACAAAATTCCGGTTTTTTTGAGCCCACCCTATATATTATTAAACTCCTTGTTATTTTACAA